CCCTACACGGCAACCCCTTGAGACCATAGGGCTCTGGATAAGATGCCAGTTCTGCAGCTGTGGTCTCCACATCTCAGACCAAGCAGAGTGCATTTGCTTTTGTGCATGGATGTTCTTTGCAACTATTAAAGTAGCAATCCTAAACAAGTCATCACCCTGGTCTCAACACCTGTCATTAAAGGCCCTCAAACTGGAGATGCTGCCGGAGTCCCTTTGCACACCCTTCATCAGTGAGTCACAGCTCCTCCGTGTGACGCCCAGCATTTAGTAAATATGCAGACGTTTGTGCTACTTAAAAGAGGGAAGAAACCAAAATAAGATTTTAATTTCTCTTTTAAGTCCTCTAGCTAGCAGAGTAACTAAAAACCATAAATCTCTATTTGCTTCTACTAGTAGAAAAGGTGAACTCACTGAGGTCTAGGTATTTGGGACCTGGGCCAGATAGGTAAATTCCACATTCCCATGACAGAACAGAAGTGCTTGAGAGGCTGATTTAATAACTCTGTTAATACCTCTGTAATATCAGAATTCAGTGACATCAAAGAGAGTTAACAGGAAACAGGAGTGAAATAGACAAAATGCAGCCCTTTTTTCATACAATGCATTGTTAATTTACAGAACTTGTTCTAGTAGAATTTGGTGACTGACAACTACCACAGCCAAATAAGAGGGGGGGGGGGACTGACTCTCTCAAGCCCCTGAGAACTCAGTGAATTCTGAAGCAGGAGATTGTGAAGGGTGAGGGTAAGATTTCCCGATTCCTTGTGCGCATTGTTCTGTCTAATCGTGGGTCCCTATTGTGATATGAAAAGTATCAAAACCATCTGGCCACCCAGAGACAAGCCAGTGTGGTGTCAGACTGCAGAGTACAGCCTGAAGTTGTCCTGGAATTTCAAATGATCTCCAGATTACAGAGACCTGCTTTCCTGGAGGAAATGAGGAGGAGGAGGAGAGGAGAGGAGGAGATTGGATTTATACCTCACCCTTCACTACCAAAAGGTGTCTCAGAGCGGCTTACAAACGCCTTTCCCTTCCCCTCCCCACAACAGACACCCTGTGAGGTGGGTGGGGCTGAGAGAGCTCTGACAGAAACTGCTCTTTTTTCAAGAACAGCTATGCCAGAATTATGGCTTGCCCAAGGTCATCCAGCCAGGTGCAAGTGGAGGAGTGGGGAATCAAACCCGGTTCTCCCAGATTAGAGTCCGCGCACTTAACCACTACACCAAACTGGCTCTCTTGTGTAGTATCTTCAGAGAGCAAACTGTATGGTATACCATAGATTCTAGGTGAAATGCCTCCCAAATTCCCCCCTCCACAGGCACTGACCCCAAATCTCCAGAAACTCCCCAACCTGGGATTGGCAATCCTACTGGGAAGATCTGGATTCAAACCCCCACCCCCACCTGCCACTAAGCTCATTGGCTGACCCATAGGTCAGTCACTATCCCCTCATCTTATCCTTAAACCTACACAATAGCATTGAGGATAAAATGGGGGGATGCTGTAGGGTTGCCAACTCCTGGTTGGGGAATTCCTGAAAATTTGGGGGTGGATCCTGGGGATGGTGGGGCGAGGGGAGGGACCTCAGCAGGATATAAAGGCATAGAGTCCACCCCTCTGAAGCAGTCATTTTCTCCATGGGAACTGATCTCTGTTGTCTGGAGATCATTTGTAAGGCCAGGAGATCTCCAGGTCCTACCTGGAGGTTGGCAGGCATAGGGAACATCAGCACATATACTGATATAAGCTCCCTGATCAATCAATCAATCAATAACTAAGACAGTGGTTTTCTATGCACCTCAGGAGACTTATCTATTTGCAGAAAAATATCACGTAAATTAATCCAAAAGAAAGATGGGGGAAATCTCACTTAACAAGGTTTAAATAGGCCCAGAATCACTTAATGTTTTGAGGAGCCAAATGTCAGTAAAACAGAACTAAATAAATGGAGGGGGAGAAGTCAGCCTCCTCAGGTCCCTAAGAGCTCACAACACCCTAGACAGGTAAATTTTGTGGGATTTTCAACAGTTGCCCTTTCACAAATTTCTAACAGGCTTCCACCTTGTTTTGAACTATTATTTGCTTTAACATAGTTGTCTAGTGGTCGAAATAGCATTCTGTTAGGAACTGGCCTTATTAATACAGTTGTCACCAAATTCTACTAGAAAAAATAATTCAAACATTTCTGATACATTAAAAATGGTGTTACAAATTGGGCTGGGTTAATGACCGGCTAAAATCTGCACATTTCTGGCAAAGCTTGTCTCTGTGCAAAGGCCTCTGAAACTAGCCTGTCTCCTCTCCACCTACAAAATGGAGTTTAAATTGTTATCTTACCTACTAATTTGTAAAACTAGCTCCACAGGCAGTCCCCACTCATGAGAGAACTTTTAGGACCTAAGTATATAGCTAGAGAGAAAAGCTCCCAGGAGTTCTCAGCTGGTCTCACAAAGTACCAAGCTCCCAGGAGTTCTCAGCTGGTCTCACAAAGTACCAAGTCCTAATCATGTCTGCACATAGAACTTGTCATAGACATAATTACTGATCCTTCAATTCTCACTTTTAGATTCTGGTTCCTACAGAACACTTGTCTACATAAACTGCTAAGTTTGTTAGAAATATAGAAATACTAGGAGTAAAGCCCGTTGTACAAGAAATACAATGAGCTCTAGAAGGAAGCTCCAAGTGAATGTCCCGGCTGTGGCTGGTGGGGCAGCAAAGGGAAGGGGAAAATAGAGGGAGGCAAGCCATGTTTATTTCCTTCTCCTTAGCTATAAGGAAGGGCTGCCTCAAGTCATTTTGCTGCCCCAAGTGGGTAGTATGGGAGGACAGCCTCATGGTAACAGGTATGGTTCCTTCCACCCCTGTCTTATGTTGATTTGGGGTTATGCTGTGACAGCTAAGGTAGAAAAGCACCTCCTCCTATGCCATGTCTTCTGGGTTCCAAGGGTCTAGAAAGCAGTTCCATAGCCAGTTACAGGGTTGCTAACTCTGGTTTGGGAAATATCTGTAGATTTGAGGGGTAGAGCCTGGGGAGGGCAGGGTTTGGGGTGCGGAGGGACCTCAGCAGGGTATAATGCCATAGAGTCCATTGCCCAAAGCAGCCATTTTCTCCAAGAGAACTGATCTTGGAGATCTCCAGATGCTGCCTGGAGGCTGGCAATACTAAGGGGAGGGCCAGACCTGTAGATTTGAGGGGTAGAGCCTGGGGAGTGCAGGGTTTGGGATATGGAGGGACTTCAGCAGGGTATAATGCCATAGAGTCCACTGCCCAAAGCAGCCATTGTAATAGCTGGGAAATTTTCTGTAGGTGAAATGATGTGCTGTGGCTGGGAAACACGGTGATTTCTGGGAGATCTCCAGGCCCCACAGGGAGATTGGCAACTCCAGTGACCGTTTAAGGGAAGATTGGGATATGTATTTTACCTCAGGACACATTGAATGACTCCCAACAGCAACAGTGAATTGTTTAGAATGTTAGAGGCAAAGGCCAATCAGGCCGCATATGGAAATGACCTCTGTGTTCCGACTGGCTACTGGGAGGAGAGGAACAGCAAACTGTTTAGAATACTGTAGGCGAGACTCAGGCAACGCACCCAGGGGATTGGCATACCTTTGGAGTGGCAGCTGAGGAAGCCAAAGGCTGTGGGAGCGTGTGGAGCATTCACACCAAAAGAGAATTATATATAAGGAGAGATTACCACTATTGATATTTACTACAGGTTTCTTTGACTCAGAGCAAGAAACTGGAATAAAAATTCTTGAACAACCTGGATACAGGCAGCTGTTTAATACACATTCAGGTGTTAACTAAGGCTTAGCCTTATCTTATATAGATACTGACCTGGGAACAACCCCCCCCCCTGAGCGCAATAGGACTTACTTTTGAGTAAGCTTGCATAGGATTTCACCGTAAGTGTATTGTATCACTATACCAAACTCATTTAAGTTGCTTAATACCAGGCATCAGTTCTGAAAGTACACAGTCAGTGCCCCGTTATTATTAAGAATTCATATATTTTTCTGAATATACACAAACATTCAAAAACCTATCCCAGATATTAGGGATCTGTAGATCTCCAAGGACCAAGTATCATCTTGCAACTAAACTGCTCTAGTCAAACCACGGCATCCCATGCATACCGCAGAAAGTTACCATCAGTAATTTCTTATAAACCAAGAAAACTGGCAAACTCTCAGCAGAAGTGACACCAGTTAAGCCCCTGCTTATACTATTCTTCCCTTAGCAGTACAAAAGATTATACTACCAGGGGAGCACATTCTGCTACTTTAAACTTGTCAGAAATACAC